TTAATTATCTCGGAAACTGGATGAGCTCCTATAATTATTTTGGTGACAAACAGGGCTGCCAACTTGACTCAAACCGTGCCGTGCTCCTATTTTACTTCAAATGGCGCTTAATTTTTTAATTAAAAAAAATTACATTTCAATTCAATTCAACTTCTTTTTCTAAACTAAAATTACGTAATTTCAAAAGTTTATACAACTGGTTCATCTTATTTTCGCATTGAATTTTTGGTTTAGAAATGTGGTTCTTATTTTATTTTGCTAATTAGGAAGGATTAAAAAGAGTGGCACCATTTTTGGCACTTTTATTTTTCTATTTGGCACATTTTGGCACTTTTTTTTATCCTCAATATGGCACCTCGTACCCATAGGATAGTTGGCAGTCCTGCCAGCAAAGTTGCACATTTCCACGAATGTGAAAGCCAATGTGAGCAAGAACATCCAAGCGTACGTGTATGTGCGTGTGTTTTATATTTGTTGAAGTGTTTGTATAATCAATGGCTACATATTAAGTTAAAAAAAGTTGGGGTGCAGGCAGATGGCGCGGCGGTGGCAACAAGATGCAACGATCACGTGCGATTGACACACGTAGTTGTAGGTGCCGTTCAGAAATGCATCAAGCCAAAACATCAGTTTCTTATATTTCTAAACTATAATTGATGGGAATGTCTTATTTACGCAAATAAGTTCGAATTCGGCTTCTAATCGTGGTTGCACATGTTTGAGACATTTCCATCAATTATAGTTTAGAAATAAAAGCGGCTGATGCTTTGGCTTGATGCATTTCAGAACGCAGCCGTATTGTTTTGCATGTTGCTTGTTTGGTGCAAGATATATGCATACATAAAAAATATGCAATCTATTCGCTTTAGTTTTTTATAAAAAAAAAGGATTCTGAGCTGCCATACGCGCTCGGCTCTAAAAATACAGATGCACACTTACATAAGTATGTCATAACTATAAATATTTTTTAGTCATAAATCCATATCCATACTTTTACTTGGAAGTGGTATCGAAAGAAAGTATCGATACCTGAAAAATATCGGATCTAAAGTATCGATACCTATTCCTATCGGCTCTTTTGGCTATGAAGGTATTCCGTATGAACTAAATATTTAAGTTAAATTTAATTTTTTATGTCATAAGTAAACCGAACACAGAGTGCCGAAGCCAAATTTTTGCTTAAATAGTATCGGGTTTCGATACGAATATTTGTATTTCGAAACCTACTCAGTACTTGGTTCAAAAGTATCGACACCATAATTACTCGGTATCGAACGAAAAGTATCGAGTATGTACTCGTATCGTTTCATCCATAGTCATACACGCCTCCTAAAATAACGAGAAGTAGGCGCGCGGGAAAATGAAATGCAAATATTTTTTTTAGTTATATAAAATGGATTTCGGTATTTATTCTCCACGCTTTTTTCAATTGTATGCATGTTTCACTGAGTTTTGCATTCTACATCAGTTGCTTTTGGCGCGTGCAGCATACTTTTAGGGGTGTGATAGTAGTTTCTTATGCTTTGTTGTTGCAATTGTTTGTTTCCTTGATTAAATACATATCGCTCGGAAACATTTCCGCAATCAGCAACATCGGTTTAATGGTACTATCCTCACACATACTTACGTACATAGTCGCATGCGAAGATATGCGTGTGGGCTTGTTTCCCTTATCACGTTTTCGTACAGTCGCTTCTGTTTGCCCACTTGTTGCTATACTCCACTGATATTTGTAATGATTTCTGTATTTTCCTTTGATTGGGTAAGTAAGCAACTAGTTACGGAATTTCAGCTTTAGTGAAGATATTTTTGGCAGATGTAGATGTGTGTGTACATATATAAATATGTGTGTTCAAAGACCTAAGAAAATTTAATTGGCGTCCGTTTTTTAGCGGATGTCGAGATAGTGAAGAACTATCACGTGACCCATACACAATGGTCGAAGCAAATTTGCAACGTTTTAATTCAACTTTTTAGAATTTATTTGAGTACAAAGTATTGTAATTCATTAAATTTTGAATACAAGTTTTAAATTTTTCGCATATAGAGTATTTTCGATTCGTTTTGTATGGAAGAAAATGCGTGAAAAAATTGCCAAAACAAAAAAAAAATCAAACGTGCACTTTACAATATTAAAATGTAATGGGTTACAAAACTGTATTTTCGAAAAAAATAGTAAAAAATTTGATTTTCAAGTTAAAAATTTGCGCAAAAATGTATTGAATTTTCTTGCTGTTTGCACAAGTTTAGATATTTACTTTAATAAAAAATTTGAGAAAAAACATAAAAATAGCAACTGTTGCTAAAATTGTGAAAAAATCTCCGTGCCAATACTTTTGGCTTTCAGTGTATACATGCAAGTATTTATTCATTATTATACAGTTTGATAGACACCTCATTGGATTTCCTAGCTCCTTGCTCCTTGCACGACACACTCGCACGTGCATCAAATGAGCGCAATAGTCGATTTAAAGCAGAAGTGCTACAAAAGCCACTTCTCCGCGAGCTTAACACTTGTTGATTTGTGCAGAGCTTGAGCTTGCTGCACGTTCGTGAATGCTGTAGTACTGTAACACGTTGCCACGGTTGCCTTAATACCGTTGACTATAATAAGTACTTTAAAATGGTGGCCTTTTTTTGCCCACCACGAGCGTCGGCGTATGTTGGAAATGCGTGATGCAGGACTTTCTTGCTTTGAGGAATGATTAGGTGGGGGGGTACATGTAGTGGGTGGGTGAAGTACATGTAGACGCGTACGAATAATTAAAAACCCTTGGTTTCGCATTCGCTGAGCTTAAAAAGGTTCATATATCCAAGAGTAGTTCGGCTTTGGTTAAAGGTAATCCCACTCTCACTCTTGCCTGGAAATTACATACATATGCAGTGAGACTTAGCGGGACAGGTTTCGATCCCAAGATTTTTTCGATGATGCAGTCTTTATGTAGTAAAGGCTTCCTACAACGGTTGTTAGGACGTTTGCAGGGCGTTCTCGGCTGGCCTATCCTTGACGTAGATCTCATTCACATCTTAATTTTTCACTTAAATTAACCTCCATTCAACACGTTCTTTTTACTAAATAATATTTATGATTAAGCTTACTAAAAAAAAATCTACTTTTAAATGTTTCTTTACAGATTCTCTAACGCTAAAGATCTTATCGTAGACTTTTGGTGAATTGTTTTCAAACATTTCCAACACAATTCAATTAATAAATCGACCAAATGAGTGTCGAAGAGAACTATTCTGTTCTACAAACTTAAACGTCCATTTCTTAATTAAAACAATAACAAACTTGTAATGGACTGGCTACTGGCAACACCGCAGTTACATAGCGCCTTCTCTTCATTGGGTTCCCTTGAAGGGGACACCTACGTTGTTGGTCCTGATGCGTTAGGTGAGTATAACTGAAATACCATTGCTCTCTCACAACACATACAATATCAGCATACATACATAAACATGCATATTCACTGCTTTCTTTATTTGCTCTCTCTTTTTTATTCTCACTACTATTTAACACACCGCTTGCAGCTATCCTGGAGGAAATAAACTATAAACTAATCTATGAAGACCAGACGTTACGCACCTTTAGGCGCGCCATCGGCTTCAGCCAGAATGTGCGTTCCGATCTGATACCGCTGCTGGAGAATACCAAGGATGATGCTGTGCTCGATTCGGTCATACGCATCTTGGTTAACTTGACTGTGCCTGTAGAGTGCCTCTTCTCGGTAGATGTTATGTATCGCACCGAAGTCGGTCGGCATACCATCTTCGAGTTGAATAAGCTGCTCTATACAAGCAAGGAGGCCTTTACCGATCCGAAAAGCACAAAATCTGTTGTCGAGTACATGAAACACCTTCTGGAGTCCGATTCGAAATTGTCATTGCAAAAATGTGACAAAATTAACAACTGCTTGCTGTTGCTGCGCAACGTTTTACACATTCCAGAGACGAATGTGAACTTGGTTATGCCCTCAGCACATTCTCAGCAGGGCGGTTCGAACCCGGTGTCGATGCAGAATGCGATACTCTGGAACCTTTTCATACAAAGCATTGACAAGCTGCTGCTCTACCTTATGACATGTCCGCACCGCGCCTTTTGGGGTGTCACCATGGTGCAGCTGATCGCGTTGATGTACAAAGATCAGCATGTCAGCACACTGCAAAAGCTGTTGAATTTTTGGTTTGATGCTTCGCTATCGGAGAGTTCGGAGGATAACGAGAGCAATACCTCGCCACCAAAACAGGGTAGCGGTGACTCTAGTCCCATGCTTACATCGGATCCCACTTCTGATTCATCGGACAATGGTAAGTTCTGCTACACATTTAAAATTGACAAAGTAAGGGCAGAGTTCGAAATGCTGATGCCACCGGCAACATCAAATGCCAAGTTACGAACACAAATAGGTGCACTAAATAGTCCTTTTTGTGTTTTCATAGGTAGCAACGGCTGCAAGAACGAGAGCGCCGAAGATCGCCGGCAGGCCATGCGCGAGGAGGCCACGGAAGCCATGTTGCAGGAAGTTAGCCGCAAGGGACACGAATATCAAAACTCGATGTGTGACGCGCAGGTGAAAAAGGAGGATTTGTGTAGCGCTGACAACAATGTCGACTGCGAACAGCCGTGCAGATCGCCAACGGCTGTCGATGTGACACGCATACACATAAAAGTCGAAGCAATGGATGAGATGGGCGATGATGATGGAGTTGAACGAGGCGGCGGTTCGGACGAGTTGGCCGACTCAAAACAACCTAGCGGTATGATTGAAGATTGCAACAACCAACAACAACAAGAACAACCAGCTAAACGTAGTCAACACACTACCCTCAAGCCGAAGCAAATCGACGCAGATGCGACAAAATTCAAAGCGCCACCAGTGGTAGCGAAATCCAAGCAGACGTTGTCGGGATCGGCTTACATGAATGCTGATGAGGTCAATCCGACGCCGAAGCTTTGCCAAAAGGTGCCGCATGCCGGTCAGCTGAGCCTAACAAAGGGTAACAGTGGCCCTCAGAAGCGCGAATGCCCCTCCTCACAATCGGAGTTATCGGATTGCGGCTACGTTACACAGGTGGAGAATCAGGAATCCATATCCACCTCGAGTAATGACGATGATGGTCCACAGGGTAGGCCGCAACATCAGAAACCACCATGCAACAGTAAACAGCGTAGCAAGCAGCGAATTGTGATGGCCACGGTGGACAAGAAGGATACGCGCCGAAAGAAGCTCGTCAAGCGCAGCAAGAGTAGCCTGTAAGTTTAGTTTCGTGTTAGCAGAAGCTGCACTTAAAAATATGTTGTTTATGTGTACATAGTTAACACACAGTTTCTCCTTACTTTCAGTATCAGCATGAAGGGTCTGGTACAACACACACCAACCGATGAAGATATCTCGAATCTGCTGAAGGAGTTCACAGTCGATTTCCTACTCAAAGGCTATGACTGCCTGGTGGGCGAGTTGCACTCACAGCTGCTGACCAATATCGTAAGTATTAACAAGTTTAGAGAAATTAGTACTTGTAGTACTTAGTAGTGTCTTCGTTGTACAGAAAATACCCATCGACACATCACATTTCTTCTGGTTGGTCACCTACTTCTTGAAATTTGCCGCTCAGCTGGAGTTGGATATGGAGCACATTAGTGCAGTGCTTACCTATGATGTCATCAGCTATTTGACTTATGAAGGTGTAACGCTTTGCGAGCAATTGGAATTGAATTCTCTCCAGGAGGGCAGTGATCTGAAGCCATATTTGCGACGCATTCATTTGGTCGTAACGGCCATACGAGAGTTTCTGCAAGCGATTGAGACCTACAAAAAAATAAACCATTTGAGTGAAGTGAGTAGTAGTCCTAAGATATTTTAGTTTCTAATACATATTTACATTTATATTCTGTTAATTTTTCTTCCAGGATGATCGTTTACACTTGCGACGTCTACAAAGTCAAATCAGTTCCACTGAAGATTTGCGCTGCCTATTCGTTTTACTTTTACGACGATTCAATCCAAATCTGCACACCAAACAGTATCTACAAGATTTAGTAGTGACAAATCATTTACTACTTTTGATTATGGATTTCATCACACAAACAGAAGGCGATACCAGCATCAAAATGACGGAGCATATATCTCAGTGAGTATCTATCTAGTTTTTAGACATGATTCCTTTAAAAACTAACAGTTATGAAATTGAAACTTTTGCAGGTTTGCAACACTCGAGATAATGAACTACTATGGCATGCTTTTGGAGGACTTCAACAATAATGGCGAGTTCGTTAACGATTGCATATTTACAATGATGCATCATGTGGGCGGTGATCTGGGTCAGATTGGCACGCTATTCCAACCGATTATATTGAAGACATTCTCGCGCCTTTGGGAGACCGATTATGAGTTGTGTGATGTAAGTTGAAGAGTTCACCTTAAATAGTTTCTCCTGTATGTTTGTATGTATATAATATTTTGCCACACCTTATTAGGATTGGTCCGATTTGATCGAGTATGTCATACATAAATTCATAAAAACACCACAAAAGAGTCCGATGTCCCTGCCAAAGGCTTCACTCACCGAACTAACCAAGGAACACAACTTGGAGAATACAATGTGGTGCGTGTAGAATACTTATGCCGAATTTCCGCTAGGCATTGCAATGATAAAAAATTGATGCCATTTGAAAAATGCCATGTAGAAATGAACTTAATGACTATTTTTTTAACGTAATGACTTGATTATTTTTTAATGCACAACTTTGTCATTACAATTTTTGCCATTTAATGTCTAGTGGAAATCCAGCATTATTGTTTAGTTAAATTGAAATGTTTTAACGTTTTTAAAATATCCTTTAGCGCTTGGACTCAGGAGGAAATGGACACGTTGTACTGGTACTATGTGCAAAGCAAGAAGAATAATGATGTTGTTGGCAAAATCGTAAAGCTATTCAACAACAATGGCAATAAGCACAAGTCTCGCATTTCCATTGTACAGCAGCTACTGCAGCAAGTGAGTTCGCATAACATCGAATAATTTACTGAAAGCTCGCTTATTTCAAAATTTTCAACTCTTCCCTTACAGGATATCATAACTCTAGTGGAGTATGATGATCTCATGAAATTCGAAGATGCCGAGTACCAACGCGCATTACTTACCACGCCAACTTCGACTTCTACCGAATCGGGCATTGACTTAAAGAATTCCTCAAGTTTTGCTAAGCCTTCTGATGATATACAGGTATATTTAGAGTCTAATAAAAGCTGTACATAAATACTTATTATTCAATTTCCCTATATTTCTAGATTCTGCGTGACCTTATAGTTAAAGAGAATAAGGAAAAACATCTGGTTTGGTTGCAAAAAATATTGCTTGAGTGTTGTTATATAAAGCTGATTTTGAAGAACTGTTTAAAACGTGAAGATCGACAGGATTTGCAGTATGTTATGGAACCAGTGGCTTATCATTGTATATGTAAGTATAAACGAGGGTTTGGAGCGAGTTTAAGGAGTTAGGATAAGCATGTAAATTCCTTCGATACACTTCTCAGCTGTGCGATGAAATTTTTGATGTACTAAGTTTCAAGAGCGGCTATGTCTTTCGATAAAAATCTATTTTTAAAGAATTATTCTACCTGTGTTTACAGATTTAAACACAATTTTTATGTAATTTATTTTATTATTTTTAATTTAAAGTTTGCAATTTTTTTTTTTTCAAAAAATAATATTTTCAAAAAAACACACTTGAAAATTTCGAGATCTCTACAGATCAGTTAGAGGTATTGTAAAAAAAAAAAATGATCCAAAAATTTATATAATTTTGTTGCGATTTTTAAAATTTCAAAATTATGATTTTTTTTTCGGATTTTATTTAGCGAATTTTTTCATATACACTTTAAAACGTGACCAGAAGCATTTTTGCAGCTAAAATACTTTTTGTTATATTCAAAAAGTTAACTTGCAGAAGCCCGGAAATTGCATAGTTTTGATCTTAAAAAAATGTATTTTTGTCCTTCGGCAGAAGGTTGTTATTTGATAAAATAAAAGTTCTGATCAAAATTAATGTAATCCAAAAATGGTCGATTCCAATTACAAGTGAGACTCTGTTTCCATAGAAAGTAAATATACGCCGATGCCCTTCAAGCGCATTTTTTTCAGAACAAAATGTTGTGCTTAAAGGGCAGAGAAAGGGGCTCAAGATATGTACTTACCTTGAGTTAAAACAAATTTTACATTATCTACTCGTACTTATGCATATATATGTATGCACATATTTGAATGAAAAAAAAAAGTTGTTGTCCAAATTTATTCAACTTTGGTTTTTCTTTGTGAAATTTCAGTTAAAAACAAATCGATTCCTGTCGTGCAATGGAACAGCGAACAGGCAACAACAATGCTCTATCAACCCTTCGTACTACTATTACACAAGCTTGGATTTCAATTACCTGCCGATGCGGGTTCGATTTTTGCACGCATTCCCGATTTCTGGACCGCAGAAATGATGTTCAGTTTGGCGCGCAAGCTGGGACCCCTGGACAAATGTGAGTAATTTGAAAAAGGTGGGCTAGATGTTGATTGGTCAATATTATGTTCTTTTTCTTTCTTCTGTTAAAAAAAAAATAATATCGTAAAAAAACCGATTGAACAACGTAACAACAATCAATTCAAATATATTTCTACACACAAACTCATGCAACGAACTGACTATGCAAATCAAATGGATGAATAAAAACAAAAAAAAAACAACAAATCCTTCTCAACACAACTCAAACAAGCAAAATCAACCAAACAAATTTTTATTTACGAAAAAAAATTAAATGGCTTAAAATTTCTATGAAACGCATCGTTTTGTACAAAATGTAAATACATCCACATATGTACATATCTATGAATGCCTCCGCACGTTCGTCGTTCGTCGTTCGTTTTCTTTTTTCGTTTGTTTACTACCGTCCAATTACCAATTGTTGTCCTCTCTATTATCCTTTCACCTTTCCACTCTCTGTGTATATTTTTCTCGCTCTGTCTCTCTTGTACTTTTGATCTTATAGTGTTGATCAAGTTCGATATGAGTCAGTTTGAGGAAGCAAATGCAATAGAGTCGCAGCGTTGTTATCACGCAACAGCCGCACGTGGCTCGCTTTCCTCAATGTCCAGCCTGGAAATGGATACTGGCGGTTCCGATGAGTACACAGCTGTGGCTAGTGTCGGCATGGAGGAGGGTAATCGCAATGGTAGATCGAGCACAAATGGACGTTCGAGTAGTGGAAGCGGTAGTATGTTGGCGCCAGTGCTGGAGGTTGATGCTAAATTGGAGAAGGCGAGCGCGTCGTCATCCAGTGATATTTTTGCTATGCCAAGAGCAAAGCATTGTAATTCGATAATAAGGTAAGTAAGAGTACTACATACATAGTACATATATAGAGGCTAATCAAATATATTTGTAATGCAATCCTAAGCGATAAATGCGATCAATTGAGTGTCTATGTATTTGTTTTCATTGTTTTTATCTTGCTTCTCTAGATTTACACCCGAGGCCGCACCATTGCCACCAGTACCGAATTGGTTGCAATTGGTAATGCGCAGCAAGATGAATACAAATACCATAGCATCGTCCTTGGATGTCGCTCTCAATGGGAACAATGTAGTTACAACAGCAACAACAACAACAATAACAGCAACTGCAAATGAAAGGTATGTAGGTGAATAGTTTAAGAAAAATTAAAGCTAAAGTAGAGAGCCACATACGAGTATCTGAGGCTTTAATTATGCTAGATTTCCATAGGGCCTTGAATGACAGATATTTTAGTGACAAAGTTGGGCATTAAAAAGACCCGTGGCATTTCGTTAAAAAAAAATAGTTATTAAACAGCTTTCCACATGGCGTTTATGTAATTTCAATGCCTAGTGGAAACTCGGCATTACACACAAATATGTATTTACTTAGCCATAAAAAAATTACGCCGTTTTCTATGCAAAAGGCTATAAGGGATATTTTTCTGGACTGAGTTCATCGAACTGTTTCTTGAGTTTGCGCTCAGACACACGTCCGCTCATAAAGATGAGTCATATTGATCTTTGTTGTACATATTTTAAATAGTCTGGAAAGCATTTTCTAAGGGTATGTGCACACAGGCAGCAGGACCGTGCCGAACGAAGCCGCTGAGAGCGGTGCGCGGCTTTCAAATTTAACCCTATGAGAGTGTTCAAACAGCAAGCTTTTTCAGAAGCGCTTCGGAATCGAAAGTTCTGAAATCTCTATTTGTTTTTTTTCAGTATTTTGTCGCTGCTGTGAAGAAAAAATTCAAATCTTTTATTTGAAATAAATCTTTTAAAGCAAAATAAACAAACATTTTAGGCACTTTTAATTGCTGGTAGGTTTTGTGGTACATATACATATTTGTAGCCGATTATAAATGTATATCGAAATTGTCAGAATGACGAATCAATTTAGCCATGTCCGTCTGCTTGTTTGAAACCAGTTTTCCTGCTATCCGATCAAAATTTGGCTGTGTTTTTTTAATGTTTTAATCATTTACATAGCTCCCATGTAACTAATTTTTCAGATATGAGTGTTTGCGTTATAACTCCTCCACTTAGGCAGCTAGGAACTTGAAACTTTGTACTCCTTTCCCTCATAATAAACTAAGAGCTTACAGTGAAACTCATCAAGTTCGGGCTACAATAATTTATTGCTCCTACTAATTGTTCAGATATGAGTTTTTGTGTTACAACTCATCCATTTAAGTGGACAAGGACCTCCAAACAACCAACATATATACCCTAAGTAAATTTATAAAGCTTTCCCTTTAGTATACAGTTTGAAAATTTCGACCATTGATTCTCTGGTTTTGCGACAAGTACTGAATTCTCCAATACCTTTTGCTAATTTTTGTAACTCATTCGAAATTTTGATGGTTTTGCCAACTAAGCTTTTGTAAAAATCATATTTTTAAATATTAAATTAAAAAAAAAAATTTACTTTTTTTTTCAAGAACAAGCATACACAATGACATAAATAACATTTTTAAGATGTTAAAAATGGGGTGGAATATAAATATATGAAACCGAAGGGAAAACGTTGTATAAACTATAAACATACACACGAGTAGAAGCCCCCTTGTATTTCAGATATATATACATAAATAATATCCAATACTATGAAAATTAATGAAGAAAACATGCATACATAATTGCAATGAGCAGGGTGCAGTTTGAAATTGAAGCAAGATCGGAGGATAGCATTTTATCGATTGGCGTAAGCACTTAAAATTTGTATTTTGCGTCTTGATGTTGTAGAGGGGCCGAGTTTTACGCCGGCTAAGAACGGCAAATTGTTTTTATGAGCAGCTTGGCAGAAATGCAGTCGGAGGTTTGCCATTGCGACCAATTTTTGTTCGATGTTATTGGGACATGGAATTGAACCCTGTACCCACAGAGTGGCAGTACGTACAACTAACCATCCGGTTACGATGGCAGCCATTCCTTTTTAAATACAAATTTCAATGAAAGTAATGGCTAGCTAATCAATGAACAGCTGCAGTGTGGACCTTGCACTTTCTACAGACTAGGCAAGGCAAAAAAAACCTCATTTTATACCTACCATGTATTTAAGAAAAATTACTCTATAAAAAAATATTTAACAGTTGGTCGCATTTTTCGTTACTTCTTGAACTTCTGCCAATAATTTGTTTCGCATAATAAATGAAACAAAAAAATACTAACTTAAGAGAAGGCTTGTGACTGTTTACATATGTACCTCAATATGATAAACCGCCTAAGTCAAGGCTTCCGTAGGCCATTGCATTAAAAATTTGCAAATAAAGAAACGCACTCAGCAGAAATTTCGTTTTATTAAGTCGTGATATCTTATCTAAAGTTCGTTGTATCGAAGTTACACTGTACTCTTCTCTAAATCGTCTACTAGTTTGTTAAACAAAATTCACTATAACGCCTAGCGGCAACTAAATTTTGGATAGTAAATTCCTTCAACGTGTAGCGCGGACATAGGCAATGTCATGCTCCGCTAAGTGGCGCATGAGTCGAGACATTCAGAAAATCCCTACTTACGATCCGATTTTGATAAAATTAGAAAAGTATATTGCGGCTGCCACGAAAATACTTTTACGAAAAATTAGTTGATGTAAAAAGATATGCTGCAGGTGTGATGAGAAATACCTTTATGAAAAATGGATTCGCTAGATGGCGCTAGAGTCGAGTTTTGCAATTCGTATTTACGGTCAAATTTTGATGAAATTAAAACCGTGGTAACGCCTTCTGCGGAGCGTCAATCCTCTCTCTGTCGATCCACCATTTTGCTGACGTCATAGTTATATTTTTCGCAATTGTGATGAAAATAAAATTTTCATATTGTACCTATTTGCCGATAAGATGAATCTAAAAGCAGATTAACGTACCCAAAAATAAATGTGTTTTTTATATGCATTCTTTTTCGATAGTTGCTTCCTTCGGTAGCATATCTACTTTTGGACTTTAATCAGATAATCTGGCCTTGAACGGAATTTTTCCGAGCAGTTAAAAAGCCAAACTTATGTCTAAACCAATGTTTATGCCCCTTTACAAATGAGGGAAGCTGTTGGAATTCCCACACTAAAAGCGCATTGAAATGCCTTTGAAAATAAGATACATTTTCCCGATAAGTTATTTGGCTATGTTTAAAATGTACCTAAACTAATGTGCTTGTACCGAATGTACGTTCAAATTTTACAATTCTATATAGTTTTACATGACTACTTCACACACACACATACATGTCCGCTTCTTCCAAATTATTCTTTACTCTCTCATTCTCTCATTATTATGACGTTACATCCGATTGCGCTCAGCTCGATTGACACAATCTTGTATTCAGTTTCCAGTTAGCAGGATTTTTTTCAAAGGACTTTGAAATTTAAAGGATATGGATAATTAAAAAAATTATTTTAACAAATCTGTGCATTGTAGAATAACAATATGGGTACCAAATGAGAGAGAACATTTTAATAGAATTTAAAAACAAAAAAGTTTTTTGGTTTTCAAGGACAAATAGGTATTGAAAATGCGCTTTTAATACATTTTTTTTTTTAAGTTAATAAAGTTTGCAAATTCGATGATGAGGCTGTGCGTATATTAGTCTTAAGCAATAATTAAAAAAAAAAATTTGCAAATTTTCAAGGATATTTAAACACAAAATTTGTGAAGGACATTTCCCGTACCCATTCGTCCTTATGCCGAAAATATTTCGGAAAAATATTAAGATTTTCGAGAGCTGGGCCGATTTGAAAATACCTAAAACAAAAAAAAAACAAGTTTTCAAAAATATTTTTGTTCAAAAATTCACCTCAGATATTAGTTTAAGCATTTAGAGCCTGTATAAAAATGTTTACAAATTTAGCAACAGAGTTTAGCTCACATAGATCTGAATATTTTTCAGAAATATTTTGGCGGGAATCTTGAAACATCATACATTTTATAATACAGGGGGACAACGGAATTTTATTTTTCGTGAGGCACCATAATGTATATTCCAGCGAGATAAGGAGTTTCTCTTCTTGTAAATTATTAATGAAATGCTCCACTCCCGTTTATATTATTTAAAAGTAAATGTAAATCGAATATTTACATTGAACAGCAACAATCCAATTGCGGTAACAAGTAGTAAAAATAAAAATGAAATTTATTACCGTTTATCCAATTTTATGCAATATATGAAAATAGTTTGAGCCCATACATTTTATGATTTTATGTATTTGCCACACAAAAGTACTACCTACTACCTACATACATACCTGTAAACCGCAGCGCTCCTTTTACGGTCGATTGACCACCGACTGACAACACAACACTTAATTAACATAAAAGAAAAGCAATAAAAATTACAACAAACACTTGCAAACAATTGGGGCGCCATATAGTTAAGCCATTAGACACAAAAGAAATCTAAAATGTACATTTGTACATTGAAAAGTGTTGTTTACTGGCATTCAAAGAGGGGCGGCTTAATCAGCTAACAACCAAGGAAACAACAACCTGCTATCAACAATTCGCAATCAATAACAACGCGAAATGCGAAAATTAATTAATTACAAAAATCTAGTAACACATACACACTCACACACATGCATATGTAGGTATGTATGTATTTAGTACGCTTACGTATTCGCCAACTTACCTAACTGTAAATGTGGGCATGGTAGCTATTGTTCAAAACCACAGTGGCTATTTGAAATTAATTAATGCGAAATGATTGCCGCAATATGGAAGAGAATAGAAATTAAGATTCACCCAAAAATGCATAGATAGAGATATCCAAAATAATATTTATGCGCATAAAAATCGCAAAGAAAAAGAAATACTTAAAAAATTAATATGTTTCACAAATTCGCAATACGATGTAATACGTCGTCCGTCGTAATCGGTGTCGCGAAAAGGGTGTTATTGGCCAGCTAATTTAATGCTTCGCTGCGCATCCGCATTGGCTGTGATCTAGTAAGGAATAGCTGTCGCCTTAAAAAGCTACATAAATGCAAAAAAAAAAAATCTGATTTAATTTCACTTATCTGATGAATTCAAATGTGTACAAATCGCTGACGATTAGCGAGCTGTTGCATATCGCAGCTTAGTTATGTGATAACTTCTCATAAAAATGACCAGGTGTGTGTGTGTAATTAATTTTCAAATTTTTGCTGCTTTTA